AGTATGCGCCGGCCGTTTCGGTTCGGTAACCGCGCCGGCACGGGGCTTCAAATCTCGGGATTACGCGCGTGCGTTCACTGCCTGCACGCGGCGTTCGATAAAATAGGCGTTCGGTGCACGTGGCGGTATTCCCTGGCGAATCCTGAAATAATATTCGTCGAACGAAAATACCGCGGGGCGAGCGGAGTCCTGATCGATTAAAGGGGGCGAGGGCCTTGAGGTAGCTTCAGAAATTTCAAGATGATAGATAAATCTTTCTCTGTGCTAATCTCAGGTAAATTTTAATTTCGATAGAATCTGCAGGATGTGGCTACCAAGATATTCAACATCAATGCGTAGAACTGCAGATGGCGTTTAATAAACTTCTCATCGGGATTTCAGTTGAAAAAGAAATCGTTTTGATTTTTCACCGAATATCGCAACATCGTTTCATTCCTAAATGTATTTGCTAGCGAACGCTTTGCACAGCCGGAAATAGAAGGGTCAACGGGGCAATCGCCGCGAAATTTGTCCGCCCGAAACACACGTGAACTTTTTGGCAGTTTCATTTTGACACATGCGACACGTTGCATGTGAAATTCGCATTTCACTTCGAATGCGGCGAACGTATTTGCGAATGCAGTTACTGGAATTTTAACGAGATCCGCCGATAAAATTATTTCGGCGGTTATTCGATTTATTTCAGGCCTGATTAGACATTTCTGCGAGGTGCGAATGCAATTGATTAATTTATGATAATAAATTTAATTGGCCACGTAAATGTACTCCCGTAAAGTTGGAATGCTGCGTAAATAATGCCAATGCTATTTACGAACTTTTGCAGAATTTCACTCAAAGTTTAAGGATATATCTGAGCTATTTCAAAATAGTACCAAATTGATGAAACTTCGGGAAACACTTCCTTTGTTATCTGTAATATACTGAAAAAAATTTTAAGTAGATTTACTAAATCGTTAGAGAGTAATTATTATTTCAATTAGGTCTGATTTTACACGTGTTCTTATGGGAAACGCAATTTTCTTGAACGAAATGAGTAATAAAGGATAGAAAAAATAGTACCAAAATTTTAATTTTTTTATACATATAGACCACGGATTATTGGAACTTTGTGCAAAATTCGATTAGGTTTCACAACAGGGTTTAGGAGAAATTAATTATTATTCATGACAATTTTGCGGTTTCTGTAATATGTCAATTACTGGACTGTGGAAGTGCGGCAACGTCGCAATCAGCTCAGTCTTTTCTTCTCGCACAATTTGAACTTTTTTTCTCAAAAATCCACATCTTTGTTGCGCAAGTCTCTTTCGATACGTACTTTCACTAATTATTCTACCTTTCCACCGATACATTTTTGTGGCTTTTGACATTGTGATGCAGGACTAAACAGAGGTTAGCTCGCAATGTCAAAAGTGCATTGCTATCAACCTTCAAGCCATAAACTTAATATCGCGCTGTTGCCACGCTTAACCCGTTTCATAGAGGGTCGGATATTAATATTAATAACAAATAATATTTATAGTTATTGTTTAAATAATGCATATTTACCTTTTTAACTATATTCCAATTACTTTTCTGTATTACACTGCTAGATAATGGTGTTAAATAAATAAGAAATTTGATGTTCTAAGGTTGAATTCAGAGCATTTTCACTGCCAAAAGTTTTATTGTAAAAAGTTGCAAAATGGCAAATAAACCTAATAAAGTGCTGAAAAATGTGAAAAATAACTTTTTAAAAATAAATATATTATGTTAGTTACCATTTATATCAGTTATCACTACACGGAAAAAACAATATAGTTGTCACAAACAGAATTCTGGTTGTGTCAACCAGATTAAATAGTAAAATATGGAACAACTAATTATCTGGTTGTTATAACCACAGAGCAATGGTTAAATGACATTGTTGCAGCAGTGACGATACCTGGTTGCCTTAACCAGACTGCTTCTTGATACTTCAACTATGCATGTTTTAATAGCTACTGCACTATTTGGTTGGCTTGGATAAAATGTCTGGATGTAGTATAAAAA